AACCTAACAATATCAAACATTAGGATGTCCAATTTGAAAAGAACAATTAACCCAAATCCTGCTCTACTTAAATGATTCTACTTGCGCTGAGGGGCACATGACCAAGGTGTAGGTTCATAATTTAGCGTGGTCAATGATAAATATTTTTAAAATGTTTCAGAGCAATTCAAGATACTAAGATGGATAATTTATTATTCAATTACTATAGAACTGCAGAGATAGAATCTTGCCAAACTGTCAGGAGAATCTTGCAAATTCATGTTAAGACTACAACTAAAATATTCCAAAATGATGTAGGAATATCTGATTCAACAGATTCATGTGTCATTTGACATAACATGAACAGCACTGAGCATTCCAAGCATTTTGTAAGGGTCAGAATCCAGAGTAAATATGGCCCCTGGTAGGAGGCAATCTCACTATGAATGGTATATTTTGGCGGGGGGGGGGGGGGGGCATCAACGCTCATATTTCTCATCATTAGAATACCATTCTGAGATTTATTTTGGGGGGAGGCATTCTATAGCACAAAACTTTTTGTCAGTCCTGGGTAATATATCACACTCACATTCAAACAAGCATAATCTCCCACATGCAGCCAGGAGATAAGATCAACAATGGTCTGCATTGAAAGAGAGCATGCCCATGGCCAAAACATGGACTCTCACATGCGATTGTGATTAAAACTGTTATAGCAGCATATGACTTAGATTCCAATTGTAGATTTAAGAATTTCAGTGACTGTTTATTCTTGCTTTATATTTCTCTAGTATAGCCTTGTTTATTTTATTGAAATCTAATACATTTCTCAGTCACTGTTCCCATGACTATTTTCCTAACTGACATCCTGGTTTTCAACTGGTTGGGTTGGCACACATCCTACTGCACAGTGCCAGGAAATATACTAAAGAAAGTCTTTGTGACTTGAGATTATAAGATTCTTATTCTTGTTAAAGTGCTTATCATAATGAGTGAGACTCTCACCTTATTGCTTATTTTCTTCATAGAACTTTTCATATTATGACATTATCTTGTTTATCTATTTTTCCATTATTTTTTATCTACTTTCCCCTGCCAGCTCAGAAGCTCCTCAAGAGTCACGGCCTTGTCTATCTGTTTGATTGACTATTGTTTATTTACCACTGACTAGATTGGCAGAATAATGCCTGACATATGGAGATACTTGTTACCATTTATTAAATAAACAGGCATATGAAGGCATTAAAATCTATAAGACAAAAAAGTGTAGTAGGTGATTTTCTTAACCTCTCTGAGACTCAGCTTTCTTGTCCATAAACCTGGGATTAATTAAATTTAATCCAAAAAATAATGAGATGATGATTAAAGAAGTAACATAAATTGTGTCTTAATTTAGTGTAAAATAAAAAATATATGTTTAACCCATGTTCATTAACTTTGAACAGTTGATTATCAAGTAAAATTGTTATCTGGAACTCAGATAACTTGCATAACCCAGATTACTCCATTGTGTACTTTGAATTACATAATGAACTGTAATTTATCAAATGCTTGACAACTTGCCACCTCTATTCCTTATTTCTTTCATCTCAGTACATTGCACTATATATTATACTTCCACATTAGAGTAAAAGTACATTCTATATAGCACAGAATTTAACACTTTAAAATTGTAAAGGATATTAAGGTAACATTGACGAATTTAAAAATATTTTGCATTTAACCGCCTTGTTTTATAATTCAGGAAACTGAGTGTTGAACTGAAAGACCTTGAGATCATCTCACTGCTAAAATAGAGCAGATGTACTGCAATTAATCAATCACTCCAGAACCTTTGACATTGTCAATGATCCTGCCATGCCTTTCTGGGGAGCTTGAACCCGGTTTTAGAACCATTCTCGGCATGTTCCACATCGGTAACTCTTTTCCGATGGCCAAGGCTGGTGCTCAAGAAATATCTATGTGTAATCACGGATGCAGTTTGAAATTTTCACGTATATTAGGTTTGTCCAGATTACAGAATGACATTCAAAGCAACACAGGAATTAGAATCTGATCTTTTAACTTCCAGTTTGCTGATTCTCTTTCAAAAGATCAAACCCATTTTACTTAACAGGAATTTTCCTAAAAATGGATAATGGATCATAGCAAAAATAGTTTTTGGATGTTGAAAGATGAAATGTAAAAGGAAATTTATATAAGTTCTTTTAATATTTTACTTTGTTGTTTCAATTATTATTTAACAAATTTATATTTTGTCTATTATTGTTTTACTTTGAAGCCATAACTTGTTAAATTTACTTTTTCTGGGCTTTCAGACTGCCTTTAAACAAGGACTGCATATAACGTACCGTACATTCAAAGCACAGCGGAAAGCCATTAGCCAGGTATGAATTCAAGATGATCTTTAAAATCTAATTGGGTAGGGTAATTAGATTGACCCAATGAAACAAGGTATTATATCTTTCTGGAATTTTCGCTATGTTTTCCTTTGGCTTTATATTTCTTTAATTAATTTTGAGGACAATAAGTAATTTTCTTCGTGATGTCCCAAAATCCTTAGTTGTGGTGGCCAATGAATTCAGAAACTTCTAGCAAGTTATAAACAGCAGTAAAATACTACGTTCACCATTTTTGTTAAAATTTACATGGCATAGAGTTTTACCAAGACTTTTCGCCTATGATATTTTCCATATTGTTACCCTCCTACATTATAAGCTATCTCATCTGTTAATACTGCTATATAAAACATAAAAATTGCATAATAAGAGAAACTATACATTTTTAAAAATATCTGGCAACTTGAGAAATGCTTTGGATCTATTTCATTTTTGTTTGACATTTTACAAATTTGGGGTAATTTTTACATGTGTGGGATAATTTATGTATATTTTAATGATTTATAATTATGAACAATTTAGATTCTCATACTTCGCAACACTAGGCAATTCCGTAACACCTTATCTTCTATAATTATGAGCAGTTATTGGATAAGAGCAATTCTTAATGAAACTACTCTTTAAGGCATTCTGTTTTCTTTATTGATCCATGGATAAACACCTAAGCAATATAATTCTTTAGATTTAGCAAATATTTATATATTATGAATTGTTGTCTTCCTTTTTCTCAAATGATGTAGCTTATGCCATTTCCCTTTAAATCTTTGGCTTTCAGGAAACTTAAATGTACATTCAATGTTCAATATACTGATTATTTTAGTTTTAGTGATTAACCTTTTCGGTTCCTTCTTTCTTCTCTATGATTTTATTTTATTATTTTTGTCTTTTAAGGGTTTACTTTATATTGCAAGAACTCAGATATTCTTTCTGGAAACAGGGATACATTAGAAAATAAGTGATTAATACTTGATCTTGACTAGATCAGCTAAATCATATCTGTAAAAGTAATTTAATCTAATATTTAATTGTAGATTATACAATATACTAAGCATTGTGTATGAACCAAGACGATGTACTGATTTTATCTTCACAATTTATATCCACGACTGAGCAAAAATGATTGGATTGGGCTGGTTCTGAGAAAAAGTTTAGTATTTATTTGTAAACTAAAATTAACACTTTCTTTTTTGACTTAATGCTTCTCCTTTTAGTATCAATGGTAATTCTTTGATAAAAAGTGTGGGGGGGGCAATTTATATTTTCAACAATTTAAAGCGACTCCCTTTTTAAATTAGAATAGTTTTTTAACTGACTGAATATATTTAATTTTTAAAACACCAGTGAATACTATAATAGCACGTTTTGTCCATTACCACAAATTCTACTTTCATGGCAAGTAATATTTACTTATTATTATTATTAAGAGGGAAAGAAAATAAAAAAAAAAAAGACTGCTTTCCCTGTAAAATTTGTCACGTGACCTAAAAAGAGGGTAAGCTTCTGCCTGGTAATTAAGAGAAGCTACAGCAAAATTTTCAGTTTATGCAAGTGCCACTTTCTGTAGCTTTTCCTTTAATGATATACCAATGCTCTGAAAACACTAAAATAATATTTCATTGGAATTACTTGGCTTACTATCCATCCCCAACCTCTGCTCTCCAACATCTCCACTTCATAAGAGAAAAGATCTTAGCAAACACCAGGCATTGGCATGGTTGGCAAATGGTGTGAGGATCTACTGAAAATAAGTGTGTAAGTGTCTGGTTGCTTATTGGCACAAGCCAAAACTTTTTTGGGGATTAAATAAAGTCATCGAATATATATAATTCTCCAAATTAAAAGTATTCATTTATTTTCTATTTAGATTTAATATTTTAAAGCTTTTGTGAGCAGTGTAAATGATTCTGGTTTTGTTTTGCTTTTTCTAATATGTAGACCAATGTATAGAGATATTTGGTAGCCAAGAAAAAAGGTAATAGTGACTTAAAAAAAAAACCATTCAACGGATACTGTTGCTTTTTTGGAACACATGAGGAATAATGTCACTCTCAAAGCATGTAAGAAATTGGACTGGGAATTATACCTCCGAAAGGTAATAAATTATCCTGAACTGAGCTGGTTCTTGATATTGTGAATGTAACAAGGAAAGGAATAAATGAAACATCACATATGTAAATCCTGGTTAGTATGTGTTTATATTCACAGTTTCATGTCTATGTGTATTTGTGTGTGGTCATATATATCTGTGTAGGGGGTGTGTTTGAGCAAATAGCAATTTTTCCAGTCTCATACCAAAATCAAATCATAGAGATTGCAGAATAGATAAATAATTAGCTAATCATCTGATAAAATGTAGTGAGCATGACTTAAATCAATTTGAATTCTTTAGTTCCATTGAACATGTATTTAAGAAGAACTATATGTTCAGTTTTTCACAAGAGAAGCATCTTTATCAAGTATGAATATATAGATTAAACTAAATTTTTAAAGCGTAAATCTTAATAGAATTTATATTTAGAACACAATGGAAAAAGGTCTCTATTTACTACTACTACTCATGTCCCTCCTCTTTGAAATTGTTTTCTCAATAAAATAAATGAAATGATATGGATTTTGATTCTCTTTGTTTTGACTATCACATTTAATCATGATTACACAGTAGCACCAAAATTAGGACAAAATACAAGAATTACAGGAGAGATCTTAAATTATATGAGCTCATTGCATGCTTCAAAGTTCTCATTTTCTGAGAAAAATAAGTTTCCAACTGCCAAACTTTGTTGCATTTTCTCCCAAAAGAAATATAACCCAATCCGCCCCAAACTAAACAAAAGATACAATAGACTGGTTTTTGAATAGATATGTTATCTACAGTTTATGGAACAGATAGTCCATTTAAATAGAAAAAGATTGATTTTACATAAAGCAAGATAGAGTACAAAAGCACAGCTTTTGTAATTTTGGTAATATTGCAATTTTACAAACATATTGCATAGTATGTGTAAGAAAATAGTTCCATTTTTCATATATCTGTATATACAAGAAAACATTTACATGAAAATTACAAAACAAAATAAATGAGTAGTGGACCTGGTTTAAAGAATTGTATAAATAACGAGACACTCAAACTTGAAATTACATATTTCCATTGTAAGTGAATGTCCTTGCACATCTTTAACCCTGTTTGGCTTTTATTTATAAATATTCAAACAAATGAGATATTAAGACTGCAAAAACAAAAAGAATCACAGTTCATTATACCTCATTTCCTCTCATGTTTTTCATCGACTTTCTCAAAGAGTGGAACCACTTCAATCAACGCTTAAAAAATAGCCCCCTGGTTCTGGAAATATTTCAAATTAATTATATTCTCCAAAGAATTTTTAGCAAGCGTGAAAGTTTTAATGCAACTCGATAAATCAATCCTGGACTCATTTTGTGATACGGTCTATATATATTGGTTTTATGAATATCAAGGAATTTATTATGCATGTAGAAAAGGTAAGTGGATTACACTAACAAAGTTTTCCTTCTAAAACAAAAGCATTAATTAATGGTCTACAGCTCAGAATCCTGCAAGGAGGGTGTTTACTACCTCAAATTATAATTATAAGCCCTCCTATTCATTTGAATAAATTAGTAGAAGCAGCAGTGTTGTAAAGTTAAATACAATAGAAATCCCAGTCTTTGGTCTTTGACATTTAAACTAATGAACTGTAATATAAAACAATACGAATAACAGTGTTCAGTGAGGTCATTCATTAGTTTATGATTGTTTTAAAAGAATAAAAATACAATATTGTTTTACTTTGTGATAATGATATTTTCCAATATTCATTACTAAATATACACTAAGATGTAGAGAAAATAATTTCTCCAAGTATCTTTAAATATGGTCACATGAGCAATCTAATTAGACCAAAGCTACCGGAAGCATAAGGTGACGTCATTCACATGAAACTCAAATGTGAGTTTGGCCTTGATGGCTGTAGAGAGAATTTGGCCATTAAATGTCTTCAACTATTTTAATAATTTAATATTATGTTATTGACACTATCTGCTATAAAGCGCTTAAATGCATTAAACACTCTCCAGCTCTCTGCCTATTCCTCTCTCAAATAGAGATGCCGTGTTTGCAATGACATAATTGCTCAGTTTTGTTGTATCAAATGCCAGTTTCATAAAATGAGGCACTGTCCAATTGAGTAATTCAGATGGTAGAATATGTAGGAATTTTGAATGGCATACGTTATAAAAAATTCAGCAATTGCTGTTTGTGATCAAATTACCTTCTCTTCAAAAGACCAATGCTTTTTAGTTGGATAGAGATAAATAATAACAGAATCATCAAGAGACTATTAATACTTGTTAAATATTTCCATTAATTTCCTAAATAGTCATTTTTAATAAGACCAGAATACATTCTTTTCCTTTTTAATGTCAGCCATATTACTGAAGCTTGTCAGCAAAGCATGATTTTCCAAAAGGGATATTAATGTTCAAATGGTAAGAACAAGAAAGAAAGTATGGAAAAGGCATGGGGATTGGATGCTGGAAAGATTTGCATTTCAACATTTATAAGCAGTATTTTAAGTTATGTAAGGAGATAAAAAAAATACTAGTGCAGACTAGGTACTGGAACCAAGATTGCTGAGTCTTTTCTTTAGTGAATCAGTGAAATTTAGAGAAGAAAGTAATCAAAGAAAACTTCTAGTTTGATGTACCCCTTTCACAGATAAGAAAACTGTGGTCAAGATAACTAAATATACTTCTACAGGTCACATGAGTATATAGGGCAGAACTGGAAATGCAAGATTTCCAGGTTAAAATTTGAAGCATAAAATTATCTTAAATTTTCAGATAAATAATTATGCACCAGATTATAAAGTTTATGGTTTATAATAAAATAAGAAAAAAAAATAGGACTAAGAAATACCTGGTAGAAATTTTGGAGATGTTGAGCAAAAGAAACATGAAATTTGGAAGTGCATTTTTTTGGAAGGATCTTCCTGAAATATTCTGAAAGAAAAAAGAATGACTCCTCTTTGCTTCTCTCCTTTTGACCCCCAAAAACTGAGCTCAATCACTTCTCAGTTTATCCATTCCCAGTTAAGAATTTAAACTCTGGGAATTGTCAGTCCCTTTCCTTCCTTCTATCCTTCCTGCCTTTCTGCTTGCCTGCCTTCTTCTTTTCTTCTCTCTCTGCCTTCTCCGGCTAACCCGAATACAAAGTAGAGGGTCCATGTAGTACACTTTAAATGAATTATATTTCTGAGTTTGATTTAGGAAAGATGATATTTGCACTATATGTATGTTGTAACATAAAAATGGTACTGGAAAAACACATAATGAATCCGTTTGGGTAGTCTGCAATTAAGGGAACTCTGTATTAAGAAAGAACCAACCCTTCTTTTATGAGGAAATTAAAGACTTTTAGGAGCAATCTTCTAAGCCTTCAAGAGAAGCTCGAATTCTGAGGCTGAGTTTATACTTAGATTCCAAGGAATCTAAAATAGCCAGTCAAGTAATTTTAACTAATATTCAGTCTTGGATAGGAAAGACATCTGTATCACTATTTTTTCCTACTAAATGTTTTTTAGTAGCAAAAATTTTTTTTTACATCATTTGGACATAATGTAAATCTTTTAACTTCTATATTTTTTGAGTTGTGTCTGTAACCTTTCAGAACATATTAGAATTCAAAATTTGACAGCCCCTCACTGGAATTGGTTTTTACACATTTTTGTCTCATCCTTTTTTTCACCTTCCCTCCTCTATGACATATAATTTAAAATTTCAATGGCCCCTTCCACCTCTTGGAATGAGAATATGTTAGAGCTGGAAGGACTCTCTGGAGACCATTTGATTCAATACTTTTTTGGTAAAGTTGAGTAAACCAAAGGCTGGAGATACTCCCAGACTGTCTAAATCAATGCACTGATTATTGGAGACAGAGCTGAGATTAGAAGCAGGGCTAATAACTAATCAAAAGAATTGTTCCCATTTGACTAAGAAACTTTCTAAGTGTTTTAATTTAGAGATATTTAGAACTTGAATATATCTCAAATTAATACATAGTGTTTTCCTAAAAAAGTCCGTAATACAGTGTTTAGCACCCATAATTTTTCAAAATCTCTTGTGTTATACTTTGTGTGAGTATTTTGCAAAAGCCAATGTGAGAATTTCTCATATTAGATTCTAATGTTTTAGTTTAAATAAATTGAACTTTTTTGTTATGGTATGAATTTTAAGCCATTGCATACATACCGTAATTCTTACTCTGAATTGATTTAAAGTTTTATACAATAACTTCCAACCACAAGTCAAGTTCTATTTTAAAAGTAATAAGCCTGTACTAGCTTTCTGATTTTTCTGCTGAGTACAGAATGCGTTTAATGAAATGGAGTTTTTTCAAGAATTCAATATGATAGGTTATCCAAGCAAGATAATTCTGGCCAAATGGTTCACTTTGCTGCTTATGTTACCCAATTTTCCTACTTTCACTAGCCAAATTGCTTCAAGTTCCAATCTCCCACTTCACCCCATGCTGTAGAGGCCTGAACCCCAAAGGTTCTACAGTCACGGACTCCCAAAATGAAATTTCCCAACACCTGCAAGAGCGTGCATGGGGGAGAAGATTGATTGGTACATGGAAATTAAGGACTTACCTTATAATAATCAAGTCATCTTCCCATAATAGGAAATGTTTAATATAATTTTACATTCTTGGATTTTGTAAGTTTCAAGAATTCGAGTTAAGGAGTGTTGGGATAAACGAATCTATAGTATACTGGAGTTATTTATTACGAGCTCATTTACAAAAAGAAGCATGGAGAACAGAAGGTACTATGATTTCTGTTGTCAGGGTAGCTTAACAGTCTAATAAAAATAACTAGATGTTAAAACCTGAAAGGAAATGTAACTAAATTCCTTAAAATATGAATCTAATGGAGTAAACACATTTTCAACATGTTTGTTAACAGTGGTATTTTTTACTCTTTAAGCATGGATTTTTAATTTAATTTCTACCATCCTTAAATCTTAACCTCCAAGAAAAAAATATAGATATAATTCTGAAGATGATATTCCAATGGAAAGTGAATCCATTCTCAGCATTATGCATCATATTAGTGTTTATTTATTTAGAGGATGTTTGAATTTTAGCAGTCAGAGTCAAGTATAAAGTGGATGGAGCAAACAAAAATTGTACTATTAGGACCTGGTGTAAAGGATAACACGTAAATTAAAAAAAAAAAAAGAGCTACGGATTCCACACCATCAGTATGTCCCTCTTAATCCTACCTTATATTGCAATAAATTAGATGTTTTGTTAAAAGCAAATACATCACATGCAATAGCCAAGTAAATACTATATAAGGCCATTCAGATCTGACAAATGACAGTATAATGGCGTTTTGTTAATTCTGTAAAGATTATATTGCTGAGTGCTTTCAAAATTACCTAATGTACAAAATTCTAGACGTAATAGACAAAGAGTAACAACACATCGAATTTAAAGAAACAAATAAAACTCAGGGTGGGATTCTGTATTGTTTAGTTGTGTTTTGTTAAAAACTATGTATTGAATTTAACTTTTAGTAAAGCAAGCATTACATAATGCTTTAAAATTTTAAAATTCAGGGATAAAAGTTTACATCCAAAAAGATGAATGGAAAATTGTGCTTTCAGACTGTAGAATTAGTTTTCTCACAGGGTTAACCATTTCATCTTGCCATTGGATACTGGGAATTTCATCCATGTCATGTATGCATATGCAGTTCATATCCAGGTCCTGCAAAAATCTAAAACTGTGTGCTTCACTTCATGTAGCAAAGGCACCTATGTTGTTCTCCCTTTTGAGCAAAAGTTATGATCCAGTTTTCCCGCTGAAGATGATTTTTCCATTGTTCTGTCATTCGCACTTTCTGTGTTGGACAGTACGGTAAATCACACGAGAAGGTGGTGGTGAATCCCTGCTTACACTGGAAAAAGTTGCTCTGTGGACCATTTGAAGAAGCTCTGGACTGATCACAAGGGAAACCGAGCAAAACTGTGAAGCAGACGGACAGGAACAAAAGGCTATTCTGGTGTGAGGAGAAATCAGTCACTTCAGTTCCATAAGCAGATGTTGCTACTGGACTGACAAGTGGAACCTACTCCTGCTGGAGAAAGGTACAGTTTGCCATTGGGACAGACGCACAGTTCATAGACTGTCTGTCGAGAATTTGAGGAGCTCGATGAAGAAGATGAAAAGGAGGCGGTCGGTAGATTTCCCAGCCGGATTGTATCTGCATTCAAAAATATCTAGGGGGAAAAGAAATTGCATTTTAATTCACTTTAGCATTTTACATTTCTCAGAGCTTGACAATATAGTCTAATAAGAAAGCCTACACAACAAACAATTATATTGGTTTAGCTGCCATGCTTTGTTGAACAAACAAATTACATTCCTACGGTATAGCCCAAAAGCTCGGCAGCTATCTTCTCCTTTGGGACGTGGTGCATTCTCACAGAAAGCCCGATCTGAAAAGGGATATTGTACAATCTGCTTAAGGGGCCAACCTAGTTATTCAAACATCACAGAAAATTAATGATTTTGACAGTCTCTCAATTTAGCTTTTTAATCATGCCTAGTCTAAAGAACATACAAAGAAATAAGGATGTTCATGGAGATGACATTACTGAAGTGATGGGCAATTAATTAAAAACAAATTTACTCTCTGGCCTGATTTTTTTAAATACTTATAAAATCACGTTGACAGACAGTCTAAAGGATATACCGAGTAGGTAATCTGCACAATTAACAACAGATATAATCAGGTTTGAAGTCTCCATGAAACAGTGACTTGTACTCAACACCTACTTTGCTATGTCTTCTAACTTGCAAATTACTTCACTGCTTCCAAATAATGGACACAACACGTTGATGGACAGTGATCATATGGTTTTAACATGCATGGGGAAAGTTCCAAAGAAAGAAAAATTGAATCATGAATGTGAGTGAGCAAAGAAATAACTCTCTCTAGCTTTTTCCTCATTCTACTGTTATATAGCTAATTACTGCCTAAAGGCATCTCTAAATTGACAGGACAATCAAAGACTACTCCATTTTCCACATATTTGCCCTCATCCAAGTCCTATTCATGTCTTAGTGGGACTCCTAATAGCTTGCTTCCCATAACTTGCTTCCCAGCTGGCATTCTTGTCCTCGTCCAGTGTATTTTACATACTGTATAGACCTAATTTTTAAGAAATGCAAATCAAATCATGCCCCCCCCCCCACCCCCGTGCTCAAAATTCTCTAATGGCCTCCTCTGTCCACACTTCAACTGAATCTTGATTCCTCTCCATGGTCCACAAGCCCTGTGTGACCTGGCCTATCTTTTTAACATTTCTTATAATTCTTCTTACTCAAGCTCTTGCATTTTCTCAAATATACCAAAGAACTCTGGTCTCAGGGCTTTTTTATTCCCTATTTCATTAGCCTGAAATACTTTTCTCCAGATATTTACAAGTGGGGGTGTATATCACGTAGGTGGTTTGAGAACAGGGGTAGGAGGGAGATTTCCACTGTTTGCCTTTTTCATGCTGTATAGATTTTGAAACACAGGAATCGATTGCATACTGCAAGGAAGCCAGAAAATGGATTCATATATTATGGGCATGTATACTTTAGATTAATTTAGACGTGACCATGTTTAATCAGATCTTTACCAGACGGTCACCTTCTCAGATAGGATTTCTTAATTCTCTGATTAAAATAAGACTAATCCATAAACCTCTCCTTGACAGCTTTATTTTTCTCTATAGTAAGGATCTCTTCTTGGGCCGGCCCGGTGGCGCAGCGGTTAAGTTCACACATTCCACGTCTCGGCAGTCAGGGGTTTGCCAGTTTGGATCCCGGGTGGAGACATGGCACCTCTTGGCATGCCACGCTGTGGTAGGCATCCCACATATAAAGTAGAGGAAGATGGGCACGATGTTAGCTCAGGGCCAGGCTTCCTCAGCAAAAAGAGGAGGACTGGCAGTAGTTAGCTCAGGCCTAATCTTCCTCAAAAAAGAAAAAAAAGAATCTCTTCTTAACATTATATTGTGTGTATTCATTATTTGTTGTTTGTTTCTCTTACTTGAAAGTAAGGTCTGTGAGGGCAGGGCCTGTCTTTGGTTCCTGGCTATAGAATAGTGCACAGAATTGTGCCAGTGCACATGGCATGAAAGAACATTCTTCCTTCACCTTGCACGTCTCTCCCTTCTAGGGTACAATTGTCACCCTCCACCAAAGTCCAGTTCATCTTCTCCATCCTCCATGGGTCTTCTCTGACGCTCCAAGGTGAAAGACTCTTCTTATTTTGTTCTCCCATAGAATTTATTATTATTAATATTTTATTTTGCTGATCACTTGATATGTTATTTTGTAGTCATATTATATCTTACTTTTCCTACTAAACTATGTCCTTCTTGAAGGTAACATCACACCTGAATTTTTTTATAACTTTACAATATTTGACTGTGCACATACAGCTTCCCCATAATGCAAATAGCTATTGAATACATGAATAGATTACAAAATAAATGAATTATTGCATTTACCAACAGTATTCAAAGTTCAGAAAACATGAATAGAGTTTTTGTTTGTAGGTGTCAAATGTTAAAATTTATTACCCCATAATTACTTCTGGGTTAAGTGACACAATTTTTTAAAGAAGATTATTATTATTATTTCTGATGTGAAAGTTAAAAGCACAAAACCTAAGACAAAGAAAATGACAATACATTTTTGGGGTGTAGATGCTGGGCCTCATTTTTCTGCTTCTGTGTTTCCATGTTGAGGGACATCAATGAGTGTAACATGGTAATTGGTACACACTCTGGGCTCTTGCATTCATGTCTCCACAGGAGAGGAGGATGACTTCTCTTACTGGCTGGGTTTGAGAGAGGAACTGGGCTTGAATAGCCCATCCTTTTCTCACCTCTTTTTAGGAGCTAGCATGCTTTCAGAGAGCAGACATTCTCAAGCTTCACAAATGCTAATTGGTGACAAGCTCTGGGACCCTGTGGTTTTAGGTCTGCGTATTTGGAGGTGAGTTCACTCTGAAGAAAAATCAGGAGCTGGTGCTCTGGCCAAGAAACCATGAGACATAGGTAATAAAGAATGGAACATGGAAAGCTAAACAACACGTGGATAAGGAGGCTCATATGGGATTGATCAAATGACTGTAAGATATTGTGAATGGCTTATTTATTAGTAAGTACAGAAAGCAATGTTACCGGTTAGCTTTGGTGGTTTGCAGAGGCTTGCTGACACAATGCCAAATTGCTGGATTTTATAGTTATGGCCTCTTTCTATTGGTGTAGCCTGAATAGCTGTGGAAAGTAGCTGTTTTTATACATATAGGGCATGCAGGTGGCAGCCTTGGAAACCAAGCATAGCTGTGGAGGCCTCACCAATGGAGTCAGTCTTGGAGGACTTGGGCCTTATGGTGTGTGGCCTGCTTCAGCTTAGCTACGGCAGTGCCCTCTAGCTCTCCTTTCAGGACAGTATTTAGCTATATGACAATACTTAATCCCGTAAACTTCTGAGATCCAAGCTGTAGCCTGACCCATGTAAGGCAATTAGATTTTATTAATAGGTAAATTAAAATGAATGGGGTCTTTAAAAAGAGAAAGTGGCATTTTCTTGGCTTGAGATAGAAAATTAAGTCACGAGATAAAAAGGAGTGTCATGTATTGATTCTTTTCAACCCAACATTGCTCAGCTTCTCCAGCATGGAAAGGCTTGCTCATATCTCTTTCTGTTCTGGTAACACAATTACTATGATACTGTTCACTTTCCAACTTCTACAATTGATATTTCTATTCTATATTGCCCCATAAGCCATATAATCTATTTGTTCCGAAACTCTTCCTCGTACTCAGAATTACACCCCTGAGCGTTTGAGTCACAGCCCACTGTCTTCTCCCCACCAAGAATTCATTTACCCCCTTCTCACCTGTTGAAATCACGCCTATCACTGTCATAGAAAAGGTTAACTAATTTGCAAAATAAAAATGGTTTTATCCTTCCTCTGTGATCTTGTAAAGTATATGTTATGTTATTGCATTGAATACGCTTTTATAACTCTTTTAAAGTTCCACACACAATCATGATTCGTGTTGTCTTCAGAGCTGAATTTGAAATTCCTTGCAACACCATGTGTGAAATCATTGAAACTTCTGCAGTGCAGAATTTTGGGTCCAATTCATTCTTGTGCATTTTGTCTGTTGTTTTGGTTACCTCAATACCGTGTCTGTTCTGATGTTAACTTGTTTAAAACTATCTAAAGGTAGGGACTTTACCTATTTCTGTGTTGTTTAGTGAATGATCAATCTGCCTTTCTGTGGTGTAGTCAGTGAAGCAATGAGAAAGATTTTATATCATCTCACACTTCATAGGAAAATTACACGCTATTTTATTCTAATATAAAGTTTTGTGCTTTTCTGTATCTTTATTTTATTAATATAAAAAAATGACCACAGCTGAACACCTCTGGCTATGATTTCATTATAGCGTAATACTTAATTCACAATTAAATTCTAATCTGTAATTGAATCCAAGGATACTGCTGATACGTTGAATAAAAGAACGTATAAAGTGGTGCACAAATATGAGCAGAACAGAGATTAGTAACCATCAATATGTATTATGGGATGATAGTATGAATAATTTGAATGTATTATTAGCATGATAAATGCAATGTTTTTAAAAAGAATATGAGATATTGAAGAAAGATTTCTGGCTTGCTATAGTAGAAAAAGTACTGTAGTCTGCAATTATAGTGGAAAGAAATCCTCAAAAGTGAAATGGATATGTTTTTTAAATATCACTAAGCCTATTTCTAAATCATTTAAGTTACAATATCTACTCAGATGATAATATGTTCCTGCCAGTAGGTTTGTTGATAAAAAGGAAGCAAAATACATACAGTCTTGCGTTGCTTAACGATGGGGATATGTTCTGAGAAACGCATTGTTAGGCAATTTCATCATTTTGCTAACATCATGGAGTGTACTTACACAAACCTAGATGGTATAGCTGACTACACACACAGGCTAGATGGTACTAATCCTATGGGACCACCGTTATATATGTGGTCCAGCATTGACCAAAATGTCGTTATGCGGTGCATGACTATGAGTAAAATTTGTCTTGAATCAATACAACGTTAACAGCATAAAGATGACAGAGGAACATCGTCCTCTGATTCTATTAATTTATGCCCTCGTCTTTATGTGTGAAGAGATATGAAATGCTCCAGAGGATCTCTCAAATTCTTCTTCCATTCTTTTTCTTCTCAACTTGACGTTTGTAAACTCATAATAAAAAATAAGCACATGAAGGAAGAAAATGCTAAGGGAATTAATTGGTAGAAACAGCAATACAATGATTTAGACTTTCAAGGACTTCGGAAATTGTAGCAAAAGTATTCAGAGTAGAGTATGTATTATGTATAAGGCTATGAAATAATTGAAGTAGAATTAAAAACAAACAAGCAAAGAAAAGAGCAACCACCAAGATGTCCTGGCAGATTCAAAAAACCAACAGATGAGAATCCTAGAAATGAACAACATAATTACTGAAATTAAAAGCTCAATTTAGGGATTAAAGAAGAGATTAGATACTGAAGATCAGATACCTGGGCATGTAGAGCTGAATAAATAAGCAGAGTGAGGCACAAGGAGATAAAACAATAGAAACTAGGAAGGAGAGGCTAAGAGACCTGGAGGGAAGAGAATGAAAAGACATAGCGTTTCTTCAGAGTTTCAGAAGAAGGCCATTGAGACAGGGGGAGAGGTAATATGTGAAGACATGCTGCCGAGGAATTGACAAAAATGTGGTTCTGCAAACACAACAATCACAACATACATAGCAAATAAGATAAATGAAATAAATATGTGTCTATTGCATTACAGTGAAAGAGTGGAAGATCAAATGCAAGGTGTTCTCTAAAGCAGCCAGTGAGGAAAAGCAGATGCTCTTTAAACGAATGACAACAGACTGAAAGGAGATTCTGGGGGAAATAAAGCGACACGGAAGAAAAATATTAGCATGCATCTCCTTATCTAGGAAATAACAATCAGGCTAAATGATAAAGTAAACTTTTGTTTCTCTTTTAGCAAAAATATAGGGGCCATTTCTACAGAAACAAACATCTGAAGTACTTTTTGGAAGAAGTTTTTGAAAACCAAAACAGGACAAAAAAACAAAGATTCTTGATATTATTTTGATACTCATTATGTTTATCTGCCAATTTTGAAATTACAGGATTTTAGATGCCCCACTTGTAATTGACTTATGAATGAATATCTTTCAGTAGAAAATAAGTGGAGCTTTGACTTAAGAAAATAACATTAGGGGGGCCGGCCCATTGGCACAGTGGTTAAGTTCGCAAGTTCCAATTCTCAGCGGCCCAAGGTTCACCAGTTTGGATCCCGGGTGCGGACACGGCACCGCTTGAAACGCCATGCTGCGGTAGGCGTCCCACATATAAAGTAGAGGAAGATGGGCACGGATGTTAGCTCAGGGCCAGGCTTCTTCAGCAAAAAGAGGAGGACTGGCAGTAGTTAACTCAGGGCTAATCTTCCTCCAAAAAAAAAAAAAAAAGAAAGAAAATAACATTAGGTTTACCAAATTTCATATTCAAGGAGCAGTATTAATATTTTCATCATTTAAGCTCTCTTAGGAAGCAATTCTGTCTGTTTCACCTGAAATCATATGCATGTAATTTGAGAAGATGCACACTTAGCACTGAAGGACCAGTCTCTGCCCCTCAGAACTCACCTCCCCTTCTGTAGACTGCAAATGGAGCTCCTTCCTGCAAGTGGCCTTGAAGTCTCCTGCAGCAGCACTCACCTGGACCCCTCGAGGAGCTTCCATGATCAAGGACCTGGTTGGTGATTCAAGCCTAAAAGAAAAACAAAAGAATCCTTAATCGTAAAAAGAATAAATTACGGTGGTCTAGAAGATAACATTACTCAACTGAAATGAAACAAACGACAGTAAGGCATAAATAAAAATCTTTGCCATTTCACAAAAAGCCAAAAGCAGTTTTTGAATGATTTTTAATTGCCTTATCTATTTTTTGGCTCTTTATGAAACTCTTCATTTGTTACACATCTATTATTTATTCTTTTTTACTCTCGTAATGATTTAGTAACAGTTTCTTAGGTTGTTTCCCGTTACAACGTACATGAAAAGTAGGTCATGATAAGTTTACTTGTTTAAATCTTTTATACATTTTCAATATTAATGATGGAGGGTTAATAAATAAATTTTTATAAATTTAGCATGGAAGTATGCCTCAATAGAGTTCCTGTCTTGCAAGAATGAGAAAGCGTTAATGAAAGTCATTAATATTGAGAAGTTTCAAGCATGCACAGTCAAAATTGTGTAAACTTGAAAAATGTTGAAGTACTGTTTACACTTCTAGAAATTGATTAAAATGAAGAAACGAAACATTTCCTATATTAGCTGAGCTATACTGGCCCAGGAAAACGCCCATAGAATGGATGACATTAGGCTGAGAAAGAAAAATTACATGAAGGATGCTACACAAGTACACATGTGATTAAATGTTGATGGCATAAATTTTGATGAAGAAAACAGGTGTTTTAGATAGTTGTGCCTGCAAAAAAAGATAGTTTGGAGGTGGTTTCAAAATTATCTTTAAATACAAAAGTAGAGAAAAAAACAAAAGAAAGCAGAATACAGAAACTAGGTAACACTAGTTATCTAAAAAACACTAGTGTGAGGGGCCAACCCTGTTGTGTAGTGATTAAGTTCACGCGCTCCACTTCAGCAACCCTGGGTTCACAGCTTCAGATCCTGGGTGCAACCTAGTACGCTCATAAAGCAATGCTGTGGTGGTGTCCCATGTAACATGGAGGACGATTGGCACAGATGTTAGCTCAGGGCCAATCTCTCTCACAAAAAAAACCCAAAAAGCAAGAACACTAATGTGAGAAGAGGTAGGATTCCTGAGTGAGTCTTGGATAAGCGCTCGAGCTGCAATTGCCTGTGTTCCCTGGACCACACAACTTTAGGACAAGAGCCTTAGGCTCACATTTACCATCATCCAGAGCAACTGGTGGCCTTTGAGGCAATAGATCCGGAGCTGGTTTGCAGGGAGAACCACATCAAATAGTCTGATCTCTGAAGACCAGCTCTGAGTACTGAACTTAAAGACTCGAAAGTGATATAAAGGACTAGAGCCAGCATTTACAAGAACCGATTTCGACGTTTTGAATGTTTTACTTTTTTTCCACTCTCCAAAGCCACTTTGAAATTTTGATGTCTAGGGTCCCCTTGGACATCCTCATAAAATCCCCGGAGGGTCAGGTTTTGAATATATATATTTTAAAGAAATGTCTACATCTTGTTGCTTTTTTAACAAAACAAAAATAATACGTTTTCTAAAAGCATTTGAAAAAATGAAAAAAATCACTCATAATTTTTCACTCATAATCCTCATACTTTGCACACAGTATCTAAATTTCAAAATCTGAATGTTAAAATGTATGTTTTACAAGTGACTTCCCCTGATATGCCCCCAAATATACACCGCCTTGAGTAGTATATCAGTGACCACCACTGTTTCCATTTGTTCATTATCCATAACATCAAATGCAATTATATACATTTTGAAATGATTGAACCGTTCAAACAGAAGTCAGGTAAGACTTTAATTAAAATGGGTTAATGTTCTAAAACAGATTGTGAATCTGACATTCAAGAAAACATAATTCACTGAGTTTATGAGCGGGAGGAAAAGCACACTTACTTTATCAAATAATTGATCTGGTTTGGTTTGCCTCCAAGCAAACTAAAGGGGTGGGATTATTACTCATACATTTGATAGAAAATATCCATATTAAATGTATGCATTGTTTGTAACATATTTGTACCATGTTTGATATTTGGTACTAGAACATTAAAATATATTAAGTCTTTCTGGGCTTTTGAGTTTTTCTGTTCTCATCTTTATTAATTATTGAATCAGAAAATGTTTATTATATTCATCAACTTCAGGTATTCATTGCCGGTGTAGCCACAGAGTACAGTGTGTTGCCAATACCGACATAGAGGACCCCTATTGAAAGAGGTGGTGAAGAGTGAGAGCAGGGTTCAGGACAGTTAGCCAGCAGCAGTAAGCCTCAATTTTGTCATTGCTAAATTGGAAAATATGATTTTTTCTTATAAGATCATAAAAAATTTCTTAAAAGAATTAAGGGGGATAAGTATGTGGTGGGCTAGGATTTTGAGATATTAATGGCATTTCCTCCCCTGTCCCGTTTACACTCGCTCTTTGTGTCTTTGTGCTTCTCCCAAGCACTAAGCAGTATCCTTTACCGCAAATTGAGGATGATGGAGCAGAGAAGCTGATAAGGATCTTTTAAGTGTCCTACCTTATAGACATTTTGAGTTGAAAAGAAAAAACTTAGCCATTTAGTGTGTTGAAAATGATTCAGCACATAAACAAAAACATCAGAAGAAAACCAAAATCGGTGAGAGCTTGTTGTGGATTCCCACCTGTTGGACAACTGTTTTCATTATTTTGAGGAAGATTAGCCCTGAGCTAACATCTGCCGCCAATCCTCCTCTTTTTGCTGAGGAAGATTGGCCTTGAGCTGACATCTGTGCCCATCTTCCTCTACTTTATATGTGGGACACCTGCCACAGCATGGCTTGATGACCGGTAGGTCCACCCCTGGGATCTGAACCCATGAACCCAAGGCTGCCCAAGTGGAACACATGAACCCAACCACTAGCCACCAGGGTGGCCCCAGGTTCTCTTGTTTTTACCTGGGATTGCATCACTGTACCAAGGGGCTTACACTGTGCCAAAGCATTTGATGGTGACATTTGGTCATTTGTAGCCTCATGATCCAAGCTGGCATTTGTGAAGAGGTTCTCATTTTTCTCTCCACTTGTCTGCATTCACCACAAGTCACTGCTCCTCCCTCCTTTGAGGTTCTTTGATCTCTTGTCCTCAGTTAACCTGAGACATCACTAGTGTCCTCAAACCTCTAACACCTAAAGAACAAAGGTTTCACCACCTAGGACTTGGCCTCAGGTAACAGAACACAGAGAACCATTCAAGACCATCTGTTGATTCCCCTCCAAATCTTCTCTATCCAATGAATCAAGAAGACAGTTCTTGGGGCTAGCCTGGTGGCACAGTGGTTAAGTTAGCATGCTCCGCCTAATTGGCCTGGGGTTTGCCGGTTTGGATGATGCTTAATAAATTGACTAGCTGTACTAAAGAAAACAACATTAGATCCTTAACCCTTCCTGCAAGAAAAAATTCCAGTTTACCTGTTCAAAATATAAAAACCAGTAAATAAACCACAGACTGTAATTTTCTTTTTTTTCTTTTACTTTTTTTTTGAGGAAGGTTGGCCTTGAGTTAACATCGGTGCCCATCTTCCTCTACTTTATATGTAAGATGCCTGCCACAGCATGGCTTGGTAAGAGTTGGGTAGGTCCACACCCAGGATCCGAACCAGCAAACCCCTGGGCCACCGACACGGAACGTGCGAACTTAACTGCTGTGCCACCGGCCCAGCCCCCAGACTACAATTTTCAATAGAAAATTCAGAACATAACTTCAATTTTACTTATTCAAAGTATAGCACTAAGAAAGAAATAATCTACCATACAAAATAAATAATAGAAAATTAGAAGGAAATATCCAAGTCTAGAAATGGGAAACCTTTAAAGCAAGATGGAAAGCCCCCAAATCATAAAGTCTTAGGTTTATTCTAGATATCCTGGACTTCTCAAATCAGCCAAGAATCCCTATAGAATGTCCTGGGCTCAGATCTCACAATTCAAATCAGACTAAGCCTAGATTCTCTTCAAGAACTACTTAACTGGTAGACACTTGGGAACACAGTATCAACAGTTAATGATGCCCTGCTTCTCTCCCATACAGAAGTTCTCAAGCCTCTACTGAGGAGGATTGAGAACACAGTAGGGGTTTTAACTTAAACTATTCATTTTATTAGAAAGCATTCTCTAAAAGGGCCTGTTGAAAAGCAAAACCCACATTTGTTGGCAAAACTTGTGAATTTTTATTTAATTAGTGAAGCACAATTGTTTTTCATTTTGAAAGCATTAGAGCAATCACGGCAATGAGTGTCAGACTAGTCTTCATAGTGGGTACCCATGGATTAGAGCAGAGAGAAGGATTAAGGTTGAACTCTGAGTCACCCTGCTACTTTTGTTTTCCAGGAAATTCTATATTTATAGTGTTTACATACCAAAGATGCAACAAGACTTTGTTTTTAAGGTATTGTGCACTTCTCAAATTTGAAAATGAGTGGCCTACATCTCTAGAAGAATTCTCAACATTCTGAGAAAAGAATTCAGACTTCTTTGAAAGTAAGATGCAAGAGACAATTACTAAATAGAAACGTAAGCAGAACTGAAGCGGCGTGTATCTTGTTCTTGCTAAATATTTAACCCAGGTCCAGAGACATAGTAGGCAGTCATTCTTCGCAGTTTCAATGATGGAATGAACGGACAATTGAGCAGAAAAATGTTTTAAGAAAAAGTTAATGCAAATTGTGACCTGAACATACAAGAAATGTTACTGGCTTATCACTTGAGGCTACGGTGAGCCTTTTTCAGCCTCAAATCACATTGTTTTTGTTCCCTCTATTTTTGTTTTTTGCCTACTTGCACCCCCCATTATGGTCTCTTCCTTTAAATTCGATCAAACAAATCTCTAGATCAATTGTTGCTCTGTGTTCTCAAGATGACAAGCTGAAACAAGCTTCTCATAATGATCATTTGCTACTAACTCTAAATAAATATATAAATACATACATAGAATGAAAGAATAAAAGGAAAGGAGGCAGAAAGAGAGGGAGGAAAGGGGGGAGAAGGAGAGGGGAGGGGAGGGGAGAGGAGGAGAGAGGAAGGGAGAGAAGGGGGAGGAGAGGAGAGAAGAAAAATGCTAGTTTAGTACTCTGTTTTTTCCTCATAGGTACAAAAATATCAGGAAAGCATTTTACTCCTTTATTGACAAAATGTCTCAGGGCAAAATCTCTACTACTTTATAAATGGTGCCTTTCCTCGAACACACGTATGATGTAAATTAGAGCTCTATGTTTCTAGAGATTCACTTGGAGCCTGCAAACTTAAACATTTCAGTTTTAAATTATATTCAAACAAGAATGGAAATGATGAAAAGACGCCAACTATATCATTAAATATTAACTCATTTTAATGACTCCGAGTCCAGGTTCTTGTCTTATTCTTGGAACAGTTAATGGAACTCAGACCCAAACAATCTTTGAGCAATGGGCATTATATAATGGATTTCCTCACTTCTCACCATCAAGTGCACAAACTCTTTTGAACTGTAATAATTTAGCTGTATATTAATTTAAGAAATATAAACGGGAAGAACATTCGTACTTGGGCTATTCCAGGCAAATATACTATCGTGTCCTTACTGACTTTTCAAGATACATTTTTCAGTCTTTTAACACATAGGTCCCTACAAAAATAGTATCAGCTTATATAAGAAATCACAGAAGATCTACCCAAGTAGGTTTAAAATGCACGTGAAAACTGGCACAGAACTTGGCAATAATCAGCATTCATCAAACACCTGTTGAATAAATAAATTACAGAAATCTACATTTCCACACCAAAATATTACTATATTGTATAATAAACTTTTTGAAATGTTCCCTTCTAAAGTCTTTCATTCTTGGCAAAAACAAAATCAAAGACAATATGGCTATTTATTCCCTAAATTATCATTTTATTTACTTGGCGAACCAATCCCGCCTTGGTGATTAGAATTAGGTGTCGACTAAGAGGATTTCCTATTGCCCTGAAAGGGAAATTGTCAGCAAGATTGTAAACATCTTCTCAGACACTCTGCTTTTAATCTTCAGCACACAAATGAATAATTGAATACTCCCATCATTACTGTGCTTGCTTCTGTTTCAATTTTGGAATTTAGATCACTAACACTCATCTTGGGGGTTGCCAATCTGCTTTTAGCACTAGCAGATAAGCCTAGCTTAACTCAATGTTTAAATAATTGATGAATAATTAGAAAATAAAACCAGCAACACTCTGTACTAATTATAATTTAATTCACATTCACACTTATGAATTTTGAGACATGTCGGCAAGGTAATTAAAATAGCAGTTGGTTTCTATTCCTCCTTTGGCAATAGACTTTCATAATGAAAAACATAAAATGAGTACGCAATTACTAAAACATTGGAAGTAAAAAATGTTTTTTTAGAACTTAGTACTTTAGAAAATTGTTATGGAAAGAATCACTAAACTCTTGAGATCTGTAGTAAAACACAGCTGAAAAACAATTGGAATCAATGTTAGTCACATGTGTCTTAGCAACACAGTAACAACTGCTGCCATGTAGTTGTATTACAAGCATTTAATTAGTGTCTTCGATATACAGTTTTGCTGTTTCAGTAATTTAAATTAACAAATATTTATCAGATATTATTATATGTGAGATACAGTGCTGGCTGCTATGGCACTAAAGACGAGCAACGAAGATGCAGAGCCTATAAATGGAACATACAACCTTGTTGTGTGGAGAGGGATAAAATAACCAATTACACAGAAAATCTAAATTCCTAATTAAGATAAGAGCCATAAATCAAGGCTATAACACACCAAAACCCTGTTTCTACATATTCTTCAACTCTCTCACATCCTTGAGGTTTTGGCACAAAGTAAGTAATTATTACTTTTGTCATAAAATGCCTTGATCACACGAAGAGGGCCCCCTTCTGTTACTGTTGACTAGCTTGTTTGAATCTTGGTTACTCAACTAGTGCGAAACTGAGTTCTTTAGGAAATTTTGTCACAGACTATAAAGGTCTACAAAATTTACTGTTGTGAATGTATAGCTTTATTTTTGCATTACAAAATTTCAACTTTATTTTTCTATTGTCATTTGAGCATTTTTTCCACTCATCCAAATGGAAAGGGCTGAACTTGATCCTCATGAAATAAAATGTTTTTTTACTTAATATTCTTATTATGTTTTCCAAGACAAAGACTCTATCTCTATGGCTGATATGTTCATCCAACTTTAAAAGTGATTTTTACATGTGATTTATTACTTTTTAATATCATTATTGTTGTCTTTTTTCAATACCATAGCAAATGCATTTTAGAATGTAATTTATCTATCAGAAAATAATAATGTTAAGCATCTTTGTGTATTGACATATAACATTGTATTAGTTTAAAGTGTACAACTTGGGCCAGCCCGGTGGCGCAGCGGTTAAGTGTGCACGTTCCACTTCAGTGGCCTGGGGTTCCCCAGTTAGGATCCTGGGTGCAGACATGGCACCACTTGGCATGCCATGCTGTGGTAGGAGTCCCACATATAAAGTAGAGGAAGGTGGGCCAGGTATTAGCTCAGGGCCAGTCTTTCTCAGCAGAAAGAGGAGGATTGGCAGCAGTTAGCTCAGGGCTAATCTTCCTCAATAAATAAGTAAATAAATAAAGTGTAAAACATAATGATTTGATATACATATATATTGCAAAATGATTACCACAACAAGCTATATAATACATCTTTAATCTATTAATTTAATTTATTATTGAATTAAGAACATCCATAGATCAGTTACTAGATTTTAGTATTTCAACTTTTATCAACAGTTACCATGACTGTCCTGGAGAGAATTCCCTACAATGTTGTCATGTCATAATCTTCTGGGTAGAGAGGGCTTTTACATATAACAGTGTCTCTTAGAAATAATACAAGGTCAAAAACCAGCTTATTCCATTGGAAATACTAGATTGAGAAATCTGTCATAGGGCCATTAAGTTCTGCCTTTGTCTGATTACTATTTACATTTGCTTCCGCATTTCCCTTTATGTAACACTCCCTGACCATTTATAGCTTTCTCCAACTCTCTGCCTCCCCTTTCTTTATGCCTTTCTGTACATATATTTCATTGTCTATGTCAGATTTACCGGAATCCCTATTTTTATCAATCTTCCTCTCACCTTCCTCGATAACTGCTTTTCCTTTCTTTTTCCACACTCCTCCTGCCTGATATATTTATTTTTGTATTAATTATATGTTTATTGGGGAAAAAATATACAGAAGGTTAGAATAATAGCTCACACTTTCTTACCCTCAATCAAATACTTGACTCTATTTACTATGTAGGCAGGCAATGACAATTCTTTATACAAGTATGTAGCACATTTTCTATTTTAATTCTTTATATATCAAAGACAATCAACAGTGATGGAAACTATGACACAGGTGTAAGAGCCAGGACTTACCTGAGGTCTTGGGAAGGTTCTGCTCTGATGTGAGGTGTTTCGACAGAGTGCCCGAACACTGCTCCTTCGGTGCCTGGGGGTGACAGAATCCAGTAGTCAGTAAGAGCAAGTAGACAGACACATTGGTTTTCATTTCTATTTTATGCATCAAATATTCTTCCCAAAAGGGGACAATTGGAAACAGCAGTACAGAAAATGAAAGAGAAAAACTGAAAAAAGCATTTAAGGTAGGAAAGAGCCAAGGAAGGTATATCTAAATGTCACCATGTTGACTGTTTTTAAGATGATCTTATTTCAAAATACAGACTGAGTGAGAATTTTCACCCCCTGATCAAAGAACAAAGACCCATCTCCTTCCCCTTTCTTATTTCCCATTGAATCTGAGGGAAGGACCGGTCACAATACTCAGTTCTGTCTTTCTACAAACAGTTGAGTATGAATGAAAACATGGAAGGCGAGTTCCATGTGGTTTATTATTAAATATTTGAAGCCATAGTTCTCATAGGGCATTTAGCAATTCTCCCACAGACAGCTCCACCTTTGATCACGGTGAGCACTGAATGGCAGAGAATAGTGCACATTACTTTGACCTTCTTGGAATTAAAGTCCTATCTAAAACCATGAACTGATGGAATTCATTTCATTAGAGTTCACTTCATATGGGTTCATAGTTAGCCGGCGAGTTGATGCATGCTAACACTTTCCTCAGGCAATTGAATGATACTCTACCTAAACTTTCATGTTTTGACTCCATCTGATTTTTCAGGATCCCAGAGCTTTTCCGTAATTTAACTGAGCAAAATAGAATGATTTCCTTTTCAAAAATTAAACGCAAAAAAAGATTTTTTTAAAGAAGATGATGATGACAAAACCTCTTGTTTTCTTTTGTAATTTTACATAAATGTTTAGATTATTGTCTTCAGAATAAACTTTATTTTCTTATGGTTTAATCTTCAAACATCTTGATGTTAGAATGTCATGCCTGCTCCATCAGTGGCCTCAACACTAGCTTAATAAGCAATGCAAGAAATACAAATTTTAAACATATGAAATGAAGATGCTTCTGCTTATTGGGAAGAACAATATAAAACATATTGATTAAACAAGGAATGAAGACACCGCCACTAGGAAATTAGAGCTAACATTTAAATTCCTAAAATATAAGTGATTATATTAATGAAATTTAGTAAAACCACCAGACGACTCCTGTAAATAAAACAGAAATGCAGAGCTTGATCTTGAACCACAGAAGAGATTTTTTCAGACTGTAGCATGGTTTCATCTATATTATCATTCTAAGAGTAAATCTACAAGGTTCTGCTGCAATAAATTCCTAACATTACAGATTTCAGTTTATAAGCTAAAAGCTATTGGCATTTGTGAACCTCTTATTGGGTTTTACTACTTTTTGGGATTTTTTCGTTTTTTTGTTTTTAAGAGGCTCTGTAGGCATATATTATTATATCAGCTGACTAATAGAGTAATTATTTCTTTAAGGAGTTTACTCTGTTGATATTTTGTAAGGTATTTTATTTCTGCGAGTAAAAAATTCTTAGAGAAAGGTCTTTGAAAATAAAGTAACAGTTTTAGATTAAACTCTAATTTTGTGATTCTGTTGGGTGGCATTTCAAACAACATGCCAAGGTATAAATTTTCATACCTCAAAGAGAAACTCCTTTGGCATTTTAAAATAAGATATAACTTCCAGAAAGGATAGTTATCCATGTACAAAGTTCAAAAATTAATTCCCACTATTCTATGATTTTGAAAACTTTCCAGACAAGATGGCAGAAATATGAAAAACAGTAGCAATATTTATTTTCAAACACAGAAGGACACACATAGTAACTTAACACAGAATATACCAATGAAAGTGAAGGTGGAAGGTTTCCAAAAGTTTAAGTTTCGAATGAGGATTAAAAACTGACTATGGTCTCAACTCCAAGTATCGATATAGAAAATTATTAGCGATTTTTTAAGAAAAGATTCTTGAAGAAATAAATGTATAATCATATACCTAAGGGGCTAAATGGAAAACTGAATAAAATAACATAAATAATTAACTAACTGCAGGCCTCCAGATAATGACAAAATTATGTTAATTCTCTCTGCTTTTGTCCCAGAATGAGTCAAAGGGGCAACAATTAACAACTAACAACGATAATCTTCAAAGAAATCAGTGAGGGAGGGTAAATGGCATGTGAGACAGGCACAGACTCTCACAGCGTAAAAATCAAAAGTGAAATATATATTTCCTGCGAATAGGGAATTTTTACTATTAGTAGGGTTGCCAGACTTAGTAATTAAAAATATAGAATGCCAAATTAATTTTGAATTTCAAGTAAACATGAAATAATTTTTTAGTATAAGTATGCAATACTTGCAGGGGACATACTTATACGAAAATTGATTTGCTGTTTATCTGAAATTCAAAATTAACTGGGCATGATGTATTTCACTCGATAACCCTAACCATCAGGCAACACTCACTTGGTACCAAGAGTACAGATCTAGTTCATCCTCATTCCAGGCAAAGAAAGAGCATGTGATGAATTCTCACATTGTAAGCTATGGAAACCAGGGAAACCAAAAAACAGGAGAGACAGAAAAGGGACAAAAGGAAGATCACACATACCTTTCTTAATATGTAGATTTAAACTTGTTGAACAAACATTTATTGTTTATTACTGTTGTAAGGGTCTACTCAAAAGGGTCCAACGTCCAATTCTGCTTGGTTGTATAGATGCTAAAGGATATTTCAGATAAATTAAAGTGACGATGATGTTTTAAGATTTAGGGAAAATATAGACTGTGGACTATTGTATTGGTCAGGAAAAATTAGGCAGCTAACTTCAGGGTCAAGAAATAGTGGATCCCATTCATATGATAATTTCTAGCTTCAAAACAAAAGAATAAGATTGGCATAGTCTGTATTGCTGGAAAGGAGAAAGTACACATGGATTGTAGTCCTACTTTATGTTTAAAGACAGTTTAAGACGTAAGCTAGGATGCTACTCTTTTACAAATGCCTACCACAAAATGCCATCCCCCCTAAAAATGAAAAAAATCCTTAAAATTAAATCCACATATCCCTCCCAATGGGAATATCTACACTCTAAATGCTATACTTTAAACTACTTATTATTAATTCATTGGCCTCCATATATCCTTAGCGAAGCCATTTGCTCCAGAACAGGCAGCACAAGAAAAAAAAAAAAAAATCTGGTATTTTCAGGGTCTTCCTCAACTTCATAGTAACTGGAAAAAAAAATGCTTGAAAGGGAGCATCTCTCCAGCCACCAGCTTCATGAACTCTACAGCAGTTAATTTCACATGAAATTTTAAGGGGTTGTTGAGTTTGTGTGGTAGGGCTTGTGATCAGTAACACACATAGAAGCAAAGCAAGGACACCTGTATGCTCTGAAATATTAGTTTTATATAAATTATCTCATTTTCTCCTCACAGACACTTTTCATATAAATAGATAATATATTGTTTATACTTGAAAAATGAGGAAGCTCTAATCAGAGAAATTTGATGCGGCTAGGTTTTCTTATGTATATATATATATACCTTCAGGTTTTCTTACGTATACACTATGCACTTTTAAGTTGGCAGACTTAGGAAGCAACCCCAGTTCCTTCATCCCTACCTAAGTGACCTGGAGGAAGTTATTTAATCTCTCCAAACTTCAATTTCCATAGGTATAAATAAAAATAGTAATACCAACCTTACATTTTGGGTTAGATTTTTCTTAAATAGGATATAAATGTACCTGGTCCATTGTAAGAATTCAGTATTCCTTAATTCCTTCTACCATTTTTGTTTATGAAAATCATACACAGAAGATGTACAGATTGTGTCTATTGAGTTAACGGTCTAACATGAGTCCACTCATTAATACATGAAATCTAGTCCCAAAATGTCAGAGCTTCAAGTTACATAGTCTCACACTGAATTTTGAAATCTGAAATGTAGACACCGTAAAAAGATTCTTAAATGTTAAATAGTTAGTGCATTTTATTAATCAAAACTCTATTCAGTAAATCAAGCAATTCTTTAATGCAGCTGCCTAGGTCACAGATAAAATCAATCAAGGCTCAAATAAATTCTGAGAAAGAAGTTTCTTCTAAATAAAATTGATGACTGGCATAATCTCACTTTCTTTTTTTCTTTTTTTTTTTTTGAGGAAGATTAACCCTGAGCTAACATCTGCCACCAATCTTCCTCTTTTTGCTGAGGAATATTGGCCCTGAGTTAACATCTGTGCCCACTTTCCTCTACTGTATATGTAGGATGCCTGCTACAGCATAGTTGGATAAGCAGTGCATAGGTCCATGCCTGGGATCCGAACTGGGGAACCCCAGGCCACTGAAGCAGAGCGCGTGAACTTAACTGCAATGCCACCAGGCCTGCCCCTAATCCCACTTTTAGTTGAGTTTCATCCTATGTTTAAAAACTGAGGAAAAATGAAAACAAAAATGCATAGTAGAGCCTTTACTAGTTAAAATGGATGCCTGTGATTTTTCCGTATTTTAGACTTAGTAGTTCTCTGTGCAGGATATAATGGAAGTGCAGCATTTGAATAACTGGAGTAGGTGAAACAGTCATTAACTCTACCAGAGTTTTAGTTTCATTTTAAAAAATCAAAGAGAAAGTTAAGAAAAGAGTAGTACAGGACACCATTCCTTGGACTATTTCTCTTCTCAGTGCGAAATCTTAGTCCCTGAATTGATGAGAAGTCCAACCTAGCAGTTAGCTCTAAAAACTTAAGAGGGAAGAATTTGAGTAATGATAGTCACACCACCTCCCATATCCAATCCACGGGGTTGCTAGGAGACTTAAACATCAAAAATTTTAATTAACCTTAGACAGCACTTAAATTCCTAAACTGGAATAGAGCTGGAGTCCAGGGTGAAGTCATCTAGATGACGGGAGCACAAATATTCTTATTTATTCATTATCTTCAAGTTTGATCCTGTTCTATGGAATAATAAAATTCTTTGATTAGTTAAATTGAAAGGCACTTTATAAATTACAAATCTTTTTTTATTCAATTTGAGATCAGAGGCC